AAGTTTATAAAAAGTAAAAATTTGAAAATTTTCAAAATTTACTGTTTAAAATCTTTTTAAAGTTAAAAATAAAGTAAAAAATATAAGTTTTTTTTTTAAAAATTTAACTTATAAGACATGGATAGTATTAAAAAATTGAAGCACTTACAAGTTCACTAAACATGCTTTTAATATGCATAATTAATCACCCACATATTAATTGTGGTTTAATTTTAATTGATTTGATCCCTTGTGTATTTTATGATATAGTCTGAAAGTTTTACAACGCATCAATTGATATATAAATATGGCTGAAAATCAAAACAACTTTTTAAAAAGTAGAATCAACACTTATACTTGTAATGCTGTCATGGCCTCATAGGGTGGTTATTCATAAACATTATATTCCACTTTCAATGACTTAATCAAAGTCATTAAAATATAAAAACATAGTAGTTTGAAGAAAAAAAATATATATCAAGTCACTTTCATATTGCAATGTGTACATGCAATATTGGATTTTATATGGTACTAAAAATAAAAGGATAAAAGAGAAGCTCTAATTAAAGCAACTCGTTGCTCTTTACATGACCTTTTTATTAAACTTGAGTTCGAATTCTTCCCACTCTTTCATCCCATAATGTAACTTTGTTAAATAAATAAATAAAAGGGTAAAAAGCAAATCCAATAATTTATATTTCATTGATTTGTTTGGACTCAAAACATTTTAGAGGTTTAAAACCCAAGCCGCCACTTCCCTAGTGGCCACCTCTTTTCCCTTCGGTGGTGATCTGGGTGGAACTAATTTATCATTTGTTTAAATAGTTTATGTAATAATATCTTAACTTTTAAATTTTAAATTCAAATTTAATTGAGATATTTGTGTTGACATTAAATCATTTGATGTTGTCTTTTCATACATTATTTTATGAGTATAATGTCTTTACCATATATTATTTTGTTTGAATTGATCTTTTAACTCTTATGATTGATATCAATGAAATTCTATTTTTAGAAAAAAATAATATTAAAAGAGTAACAAGATTTGAGGAAGATGCAACTGGGGAAGTTATACATGAAGGAAATAGATGATCTTGATGATGATATGAGGATGAAGTTTGATGGGTACTGCAGCACTGTGAGTCCTGCGCATGATTCAAGGTCTGGTTTTAAAAAAATTTGTCATTAGTTTCCTGAAAAGCAACATGTGTTAGGACTTGCTGGCTCTGATAAACAATGGAACATGGGAAGGACTGGTATATACAGTATTACCTTTCTGGGATATGGAATCTTAACCTTAGGATTCCAAATTAAAATTCTTTTAGAAAAATGATCCAGGGTGAGGTATTGATGGGATGCGGCAACTCGAGCAAAGATGGTGAAGAGGCCATGGCCCTTGTGAAATCTTGAGAGCCATTTTTGGATTAGTGAAAATTTGACATCTATACTACTCTATTTATTTAAAATAACTGGTATTTTATTATTTTTTAATTAAAAAGCTATAAATAATTTATGTATTTAATTTTTTTAAAATTCCAAGTAAGATTTGTATATTCAATTTATTATAGATTAGGGGTAAATTAAGAAGTCATGATGTCTGGTTCCTTTATGTAATTAATTTTTTTTGTTTTTGGCCACCACATTATGTAATTAATTGCAGGTGAGGCATTGCCTATCTTCAAAAAAAAAATAAAAAAATTACAGGTGAGATTTTCCTGCTTAATGGGTGCAAAATTTCCTTTTGCCTGCATAAATTGACCCTGCTGCAAGGTTGATTTCTTGAGGAAATGAGCATTATTACTTGAGAAGAGAGATCAAGTGATCAACTTTCATTAGCCAATTTTCTGTAAATCATTTATAAATTATATATAATAAGATTTGGGCAAAATAAAATTTTTAAGTAATATTATTATCACATTCTCAATTATTAATTTTTTTTTATGTTAGTTGCACAATGAGAAATGATATTCTCTCATAACTTATTCCACCCAATTTGCATGTTATATGATTCGAATTCAGAATCTCTTATTTATAATAGAAAGAGATTATTACTAAATTACTTAAGTTATTGGCTCTCAATTTATTAATCTTATATTTTTTATTTTAATTAATTATTATACTTTTAAATTTGTTAAAATTATAAAATATAAAAATTTTAAAAAAATATAATGTAAAAATATAATAGATAATTTTATATATATATATATTTTTGAACTTTTAGTCATGGGACGGGTTGAAATACATCCAAAAAAAGAAGATATGCACTTTTTCAACGTCACTAACCATTGGGTTACAAGGACCAAGTGCAATAATTATATTTTTTTATTTTAATTATATAATAAAATATAATATTTTTACTCGACGCACATATCATCCTATTAGATATCATAAACTCTTACTTTTAATAAAAAAAATTATTATTGAATTATTTAAATTATTAATTAAATAATTATATTAAAAATAATATAACATTAATTATTTAAAATGCAAAAATAACTTACTCATAATTTTTTCTTTGTTTCTAAACGGGGTGAAAGTTTAAAATTTCGTCTCTAAATTTCATTTATAGTACCTCAAAATTGGAAAGGATTCTAAATTTCTTAGTTTTTAATGTCACAGAAGACTTTCTTTAATTGGTCCTTCTAACCCCTTAAAAAACCCTTCGACATTTTTGCGCTTTTTATTTTGGTGGAGTCAACTTAAAAAGTCCTTCGGTATTGGCAAGGATGATTTTTTCTTGAATTTAAGCATCGTGCTGGGTTATGATGGTTATGTTTTTATTTTTAAAACAATTAATTATGATATTTTAAAATATAAGTTTATAAATTAATTTTAATTTATTAAATAATAAATAATTATTCTATTAATTATTAATTATTTTAAATAATTACATTAAAATAAAAATTTAACAATTTTACACAAAATAATAATGATTATAATCATATCTCTCTGTCATATGCAAAAACCCTCAAATATTTCTTTCTGGGTACCATAAATTTGCTGTAAAGATGGTCACTTTTCCATCTATGAGGCAAGGGGAGATGGAAGAAGCATGAGAAGTTCATTTGGATACTGGTTAATTCTCCTTTTACTGCAGGTGGGTTTGCAAGAATCTTCCTAGTCAAACTAATGAATTCACCAAACAAAACAGGTAGACTTCAAGAATCTCCTCCACCGTTCATCCTTTCTGCTTTGCATGTTGTAAATGATAAATGAGTAAAATAATCCCCTATGAAGAAAATCGCAGATCTCAGCACCCAACATGAAAAATATTCATCCATCTTAGCATCAACTTTAAACTTTCTGAACCTCCACCACTCCACCACCACAAGAGGAATCCAAATTTTTTATCCTATTTGTCTCATGTTTTGCTTGGTTGACATCCCTGTTTGGAATTATGAAACAAAAAGGATAATGACTGAGAAAAGGGAAAATCTTCCATTGGCGGTTCATCTGGGACCTATATTGTGAGTACCCATAGTCTAAGAAAAAAAAAAAATTTGGTTGTATACCCAATAGTGATGATAATATCATTGTGAAGTAAATTGCTGTGTTTTTCTTATATGTGGTTAGGGGTTTATGAGAAGAAACCAACCCCAACTTCAATCCAAAGATCCAAATCTTTGTCTTGTGGATTTTTAGATTGTTTCAGTGAGATCTGCAGCTGATAGAGATACCTACTGGAGTTTTCTCAAGAATTTCAGGTAGTGAGTTTTACTCACTGTCACTCTTTTCAGTTCTTACTATGTTTAGTTTGCTGTAAAATGCAAACTTCTATGTCTCTCAGACTTGGAAATTTGTTTGCGAAAGAAGTTTTCAGGAACTGATTCTAGTTCTTCTCTCTGTTGAAATGTTTTTTTTTTTTAGTTAAATCATAGATTGCTGACATTATATGATAGTTTATTATAAGTTTTTCATAATTTATGTTTTTTGTAACTTGTAACTGTCATGCTGCTCATGAATGTTGTGTGTCAGGCCGATGTTGGACTTAAAAGGATGATTTTAGAGCCAACCAAAGACATGGTTCTTTAATTTTTACATATTATTTGTGCAAGATATGAATGAAACCGTCGTAGGTTTCTTTCTCTGAAATGCATTTCTGATTGCAGTTCACAAAACAAATTCTTGTTGAGAATGTTTCTGGGACTCAGACAGATTGGTTTTTTTGATACTGGCAAAAGAAATCCTTCCTGGAAGTTCCTCTTCTGTTTTTCATCTTTACAGTACTTTAGTTTTTTAGATCATGATAGTGTTTGCAATTCGAATTTAGCAGGCCCTGTTAGATGCAATTTGAAGAATATTCAACATGGAAAATGGTGGCTTTCCTCCCAATTCTATGCTTGGTACCTCCCCAGAAGCTGCCATGGATATGGATTTTATGGATGAACTCTTGTTTGAAGGATGCTGGCTGGAGACTAGTGACCGGGTCAACTTTATGCAGCCTGGTCCTTCAATATCAGGCACTCTAAATGATCCTTCACTTTGCTTGCCTTCATCAGGGTCTCATGCTGGTCATGTGAGTATACGCTCACAACATCAAGTTAATCATGAAGAGACAGATATAAAGGTTCTCCAACTTCCTTCTTATCCAAAAACTGAGGACCTTTCCAAAAGCCAGTCTCAAAATCAAGGAGCTGTTGGGGCTGCCACTTCTTCTGTACAATCTGGGAGTTCTGTAGTTGAAGGCACTGAATTGGGTAGTAGATGGTGGATAGGGCCAAGAGTTGTACCAGGCCATTCTTCGTTTGTGAAAGATAGACTAATGCAGGCTATTGGATATTTAAAGGAATGTACAAAAGATGGAGATGTTCTTATTCAAATCTGGGTGCCTATGAAAAGAGGAGAAAAGCATGTGCTTATAACTGAAGACCAGCCGTACTCTCTTAATACAAATTGTGAGAGACTTGAAAGGTACAGGAATGTCTCCAAAAACTATAATTTCCCAGCTGAGAAGGATTCAAAAGAGGCAGTTGGGTTGCCTGGTCGAGTATATTTGGGGAAGTTGCCTGAGTGGACCCCTGATGTTCGTCTCTTCAGAAGTTATGAGTATCCACGTATTAATTTTGCACAGCAGTATGATGTCCGTGGATCTCTTGGTCTCCCTGTTTTTGAAAGAGGGAGTGGAACTTGCTTGGGTGTGGTTGAGATCGTGACAACTACTCAAAAGATGAATTACCGCCCAGAACTTGAAAATGTCTGCAAAGCACTTGAGGTCTCTTCTTTTCCTTCGTCCTGTTTTTCTTTTGTTTTTTGCATTTTCTTTATCTTGCAGCATTCTGGAAGTCTAATCATAAACTGTTTAAGTTCCATTAAAATTTTGGTATAGGAATGTTTTGTTTTAGAATTGAGTACGAGCCACACTGAACACATGCCCCTGCTGTCACAAATTATGAGGTTGGCTCTCCCACTTAAGGAGACCATTGGCAAGTGCACCTCCCAAGTGTGGTGGAGGCCACTTCCCTAGGCCATGGCCTTCTTGATCACCTATTGAACCTGTCCGGCCCCTCCTTTTTTATTTTTATTTTTTTTGCATTATAAATGAATGTTAAGATACCAAATGCAGATTCTCCATTCCTCTGTCTTCTGTATATGAATTTTCTCATTTCATGTTCTCTTTATTTTAATTTACCAACTGTACTGTTTTCTCATTATTTTTCTTGATTTATTATTATCACTTAATTACACACCATCCTTTTGCATTTGACTTTTCCCTTTAAAATTAAAAACAACCTTTCAAAAGTTCCAATGGTCATGGAATGTTAAGAACTTTTCATTTTTTTATGTCACTCATCTGTAATATGTAAATGGCATTAAGAACTTCTTCCTTGTGTTCTAGTCTAAACAAAGCATATTTATTTGCAGGCTGTTGATCTTCGGAGTTCAGAGAATTTCAGCCCGCTTAATGTTGAGGTAAGCTAATGATATTTTAAACTTTCATGCAAATCTTGAAATTTATATTATTCGCTCTTGAGATTAAAGAAGATCCTCTTTGTTCACAGGTTTCAAATGACTTGTACCAAGTAGCATTGCCAGAGATAGCTGCAGTTCTTAGATCCGTCTGCAAGACACATAGACTGCCTTTAGCTCTGACATGGGCTCCATGCATACGACAAGGGAAAGGTGGATGCAGACATTCTGATGAGAACTACCAACATTGTGTCTCCACCATTGATGCTGCTTGTGTCGTAGCTAATGCAGAATTGTTGGAGTTCCACGAGGCATGCTCTGAGCACCACCTCTTGAGAGGTGAAGGGATTGTTGGAAGAGCATTTACCACCCACAAACAATGTTTTGCAACTAATATAACTGCCTTTAGTAAGACAAATTATCCCCTCTCTCACTATGCTAGAATGTTTGGGTTGTGTGCTGCAGTAGCAATTCCGCTGTGTAGCATTTATACCAGATCGGTTGAATTTGTTTTGGAGTTGTTCTTGCCAAAAGATTGTTACAACAGTGAACAACAAAAGCAGATGCAGAACTCATTATCTGGTGTTATGCAACAGGCCTGTCAGAGCTTGCATGTTATTTCAGATAAGGAGCTCGAAGAAGTGATATTGCCAGTGAAGGAAATAGTGGTTAATTCAGATGAGAGACCTAATGTAGTGGGAAGTCAGTTCAGGTCTTCTCTTTTGAAAGAAAGCTCTTTAGAAGAGTCATCTATTGCCCAGATGAGGGAGGCTCAACAGAAGGGTAAAGGTGTCTCTGTCCCATGCAAGTATCAAAAAGAAGAACGAAAACAAGAGTTGAAGGTCACAGCCCTTTGGGATAACACTCGGCAAGAGTCATATATTAAGCAGGGAATTTCAGAGCGCAGGCAAGTTCAACGACACTCTGGAACCAAAAGCAGTGTCAAGGGTAGGGGGGAGTCATCTTCTTCTGGTGGCAGTCAGACATTGCAGGGTCGAAAATCAGGTGAGAAGAGACGAACCAAGAGGGGGAAAGCAATTAGCTTGCAAGTACTTCGACAGTACTTTGCGGGAAGTCTGAAAGATGCAGCTAAGAGCATTGGTGGTAGGAAATATTTCTTTAGAGTTGAAAGCATGTTTTTGTTGTTTCAATTTATGTTGATAAAAAACTATTCATTTATTGATCATACAAGCTTTTGTCCCATATCATCTAAAGAGCAAGGAATCAATTCTATTATTTACATGATACCTATGGAGCTTTACTTTATTGTTGCTGATCAAGATTGGAAGCTCTGCATCTCTTCTTGAAATAGATTAATTTAACTTAGAATCGTTGTATTAATTAATCAGAAAATAGTTGTGGGTAAATCCAAATGGACATGAACTTCATTTTATGCAGCCCAATCTATAAAGTTACATGATGAAAGAATATGATTACTGAAGGTAATTATGTTTATGAAATTGTTGGAAATTAGAAATTTCATCTGTCTGCTCACGACCTTGCAGGTGACATCTCTAATTCATATGATTTATTCAGTTTAGTTTTCATCCTGCATGTCGCTGCTTTAACATTATTTCTCAATGATTGTCTATTAGCTTTGGAGTGATAGGGTAGATCTTACCCATGCATTAGCAGCAGGTTGTATTATGTGTCTCTCTCTGCTTTAGTGAGCTTGATGAGAATTTCTCACCTGGTTTGTTCTGACTGCAGTGTGCCCAACTACTCTGAAAAGGATATGCAGGCAACATGGGATCACTCGATGGCCTTCTCGAAAGATCAAGAAGGTAGGTCACTCTCTAAGAAAACTGCAACTTGTGATTGACTCAGTCCAAGGTGCTGAGGGTTCCATTCAAATAGGATCTTTCTATTCAACCTTCCCGGAGTTGAGCTCTCCAAGTATTTCTCAGAATGGTCCATCTTCATCACTGAAGATGAATGATCATCCAAAGCTATCAGTAACTCAGCATGAAGGTACTTTGTTCAGCCGAGGAGCTGCAACTCTAAAATCCGCATCCTCTACATGCAGTCAGAGCTCCGGTTCAGGTACCAGTTGTTCCACTAGAGCAAGGCAGCATAGCACAATGATGAATGCCTTGAGTAATGCAGAGGGATTGATGGCAGAAGACCCTGATGGAGTTCTAAAGAGAGCTCATTGTGGTTTGGAACTGCATGCCTTGAAACAAGAGGAGCCCAAGCCTCTTGCAAGATCACAAAGCCAGAAAACATTTGAGGAGCATCCTGGTCTACAGACTCCACCTCCCTTGCGGAGAAGTTGCAGCCAGCAATTACAAGATGGGGGTGCCTTCAAAGTAAAAGCCACATTTGGAGAGGTTAAAATTCGGTTCAGCTTGCGATCAAACTGGAGTTTCAGAGACTTGCAGCATGAGATTGCAAAGCGTTTCAACATAGATGATTTCAGTAGAATCAGCCTCAAGTACTTGGATGATGACCACGAGTGGGTTCTCTTGACATGTGATGCCGACCTTGAGGAGTGTAAAGACGTGTATAAATCTGCTCAAAGTCGCACAATCCAAATCTTCCTTCGCCAAGCTCCACATGCTGGGGTAGGAAGTTCCTTTGGCAGCAGTGCCCCAGCATGATGCTGAATCCATATTTATCCAGATCAAGAGTGTAGATACATTTCAATGCTGGTGGAAACCTTTTGGGGTCAAGCTTCTTGAACGCTAGGTGATTCTCATAATGCTTTTTTCCCCCACTTCATTGGAGATCATTTAACCTAACAAGTATGTGGATACCTAGCCAGTGGTGTGGAGGTGAAATACATGAATTATAGACTATTGTGTGAAGGAAGCCCTTTAGCCTTTTTTCCCTTTTTTTTTTTTTTTTCTAAGGGAAAAAAAATAAAAAAGAAAAGAAAAGGAGAAGCAAGCACTTTAGCTGTCTGCATATCAATCAAGGTAGTTAATTTGGGAATGAAATTAAAGTTCAGATAATTACTTGTACTCCCCTTGGAAGGTTTTGCACATAACGAAGTACATATGAAGTTTGTTGTCATCAAACTTATGAAATTTTGTTGCCATATTAAACTTGCCCTATTGCTGAAAAAACCAGAAACGAAGCTGCTCACAAAAATGTGTGCAAAACCTAAATCAGGATGAAATTTCAGATTCAAAGACAGTAAAACTTATAAATTTTCATTTCTACTGGCGTTAAAACCAATGCAGTTTTTGCTTTCAGTTCTTCTGGATCCAACCAACCCTCCACCTTCTCTGTTCGTTCCCACTTCAGCAGAACCAAACCCCCTACCTCTCTAACCAAGAAGGAAAGAAGTGAACTTTTTCTTGAGAATTAGCATACCATTAATGATGTTCATTTTGTCATGGGCTGCAAACCACAAAAAGGAAATAAAAGAATTAAAAGATATATATACGTTTGATAACCTTAAGCTATTCAGTATTCAAGGCTATATGTTGGTTGAGGTAATCACCACAAACAACAAAACTAACACTAGACCAATTTTTGAAACTTACTGATAGCATCTCAAGCTGCCAAAAGGATGTTTGCTGAACCGCAGAAATTATGAATTTTCCCAGAACCTTAGGCTGACATGAACTTCCGTTGATGATGATACAACCTTGGTAGGAACAGACCAAAAGATTTTCTAGCCAGAAGGAAAAGTAATGCTTCTTCAAGCTTGGCAAATCGTTATGAAACTGGAGAAACACAAAAAGAGGATGCTAATAGATGTCATTGAAACCTTTTCGCAACAAAAGAAATTTTGTCAACAACAAATTACAAACTGATAGGAAATGACACACCTCATTCCACAGCATCAGCCCGTTCCATGCCCAGTACTAGAAGCCTGTTAAGTTATCATGACTGCTGCCATGAATAAGTACCAAGCACAAGCAAAGGGCTCATGCTCTTTGGTTGCCTGTCTAAAAATACTCAACATGATGACAAGAAGGACCTATAGGTACTCATAAATGATACCTAGACCCATCTTCATGTCAACTGGAACAGGTGACCATCCTACCAGTAATCAAAATGGTCATTTTTTTCAGGCTTCAAACTTGATATACTTTCTCGACCCCAGCCTTTCTGAACTCTCTTTAAAGCTTTTAATGCAATTCCACTGCCATCATCTCTGCAAAAGAATAATTAAATGAAAACATATAGGGTAGATCATAAAATATACATGGTAGGATAAATTGCATTGTCAGGATCAAAGAAGGATCTAAAAGATTACTGGATATGAACAATTACAAAATTAAATATTCTGATAAAATCTTGGAATATTCTCAAGATCTACATTGTTGGAACTGTTCCAGATAAGAATATATGTTGCTGTCCATTTGAGTCTATTTATTTGTTGTTTGAATTTAATTTTGTTTGTTTGCAGTTTGAATTAGTTTGTTGCAGATTGTTTTAAGTGTTTTCAAGTTTATAGCAGTTTGTTTAAGTTTGTTCATATTGGATAACTGTTGAGGTAATTGTGTAACTACCCTTATCTGTGTATTTACGTATTTTGCATAATGAAAATTGTGTTGCTTCTGCACTCAATCTCTACTTTCTTAGTTTCATTTCCTTCATACCTTACCATTATCTAAACACCCAATATCAAAGAAGTATTATGTGACTGGTCTACTCTAGGGTAATGCTTCAAAAGAAGAAGCAGCCGGAGCAGAGTATCTTTATCTTCCAAAAAGAATACAGAGTATAAAGCATAACATGATAAATCAAAAGGTTTTAAGTAAAAAAATAAATATAATTTTTCTAATGCCTACTGAGAGCATGTTTACCAAACTTGAAAGAAACGATAATCATCTCTGACAATGGATAGCCAAAAAAAAATCTCTAACAATGAAGCTTGATGCATTGAAGCATTCTGGTTACATCAAGAAAAATGGACTGGCTTGAAGGGAAAAACAGTCTTTCAGAATCAGTCAAAAGATTGAATGCGTCAAAAATAGTCCTCAAACTTAAGGATATTATGAAAATTTCTATCAGAAACTGATGTTCTTATAAGCAATAAAGAAGAATCAGTAATTAGCTTCCTGCACACAATATAAATTACAAATATAAGAAAACTTACTGCATTCCATATTGGCCATACCTGTGCACTATTTTCTGCCAATCGCCACCTCCATACTTATTTTCTTTTCTGTGTTTTGATACCCCTGCCTTTTGATATACCTTGTTTTCCACCTTACCATCTGAAGCCATCTCCATCATCTTCTCTGCAAGTTCATCTGCCTCACGCTTGTTTCCCACTTTGCCCAATCCATCAACGACAGGCATGAATGATGCAGGATCAAATTTATACCCTTTGTTGATCAACATATTTAGAATATCACTAGCCTCCTCTAACTTCTCATCCTCACAAAGTCTGTCAATGAGGTCCTTATAAAGGAAGTTCCCAAGATGAAAAGATCTATTAACTGCAGCTTCAAAAAGCAGTTTAGCTCCTGAGACTTCTCCTCCAAGAAGCAACTCGTTGAACATCAAACTATAAAGGACTTCTTTGTGGCCACATATACTCACGGCTATCTCAAATACCTCATGTGCAACCACCAAATCACCTGACTCACCGATGGCTTTAATTAACATCTTGAAAGTAGAAACATTAGGTGAAATACCCCTTTGCAGCATTTCATCTAAGACAGAAGTTGCATCTTCAATTTTCCCCCCTCCACAAAGACAATTAATGATATTATTGTAAGTGCACACATTAGGAGAAATCCCTCTTTCTCTCATCTCATTCATCAATCCATAAATTTCAAATATTTGATCTTTGCTTCCAAAGCCTAGGATTAACGAATTGTAAGTCTGTAAGCTTTTGTTGTAACCGCGTTTCTCCATGTCCTTGAGAACACGAAATGCAGATGATATTTTTCCTTCTTTGCAGAAACTATGAATAAAAGTATCAAAAATAACTGAATCAGGTAGTAAGTTCTTCGCCATCATATCTTTGAACTTCTTTTTAGCTTCATCAAGCCTTCCTTCCTTGCAAAGACTTCCAACTATAATCGAATATGTAACTAAATCAGGCATGCATTTCTTTCCCCTGCTACCACCATCAACTAGGCCAATAAATGAGTTTCCTAGGTTACCAAGAGCAGCACTTCCATGTGTCCACATCCCATTAACTATTTCAATTGCTTTGTCCAATTTCCCACTTTTACATAGACCATCAATTATGATATTGCAGGTTATAGTGTCCAAGCCATAACCTCTCTCATTCATCCTTTTCAGCAACTGTTCTGCCTCAGCTGTCCTCCCCTCTTTCAATAGGCTGTGCAGCAAAACGTTACAAGTATAAGTGTTGGGAAAACAACCATTTCTCGTCATTTCATGTAGAATATTATTTGCGTCATGTACCTTCCCTTTACTACAGTATCCATGAAGTAAAGTGGTATAAGTTACTGCATCTGGATGAAGACCATTGCTTATCATAGAACCCATCACCATTCTTGCATCAGATAGCATCCCATTTTTGCATAAGCCATCCATGAGAATGTTATAGGAGTAAATATTAGGCTCCATACCCTTATCTACCATATCTTTAAGAACTAGTTGAGCCTCAACAAGCTTAACATTTCTTAGCAACCCCAACAACCAAATATTATAGCTTCCTAAATTCATAAGAGTAACATTCGTTTGCATAAGCTCAAACAGGGCCTTGGCTTCTTCCGACACTCCTTCCTTGCAAAACCCCTGAAGCATTAAATTATAAGTTACGACATTTGGCCGAGGCAGCCCCAATTCTTCATCTATTTGCATATCTCTAAAAATTCTAGAAGCCTCTAGAATTTTGCCTGTCCCACAGAGAGCTGATATCCTAGAATTGAATGTCACAACATCTGGGAACAAGCCATCCTCCCTCATCCTTTCTACTAATCTTTCAGCATCATCTGTCCTACCTTCCCTACAAAAACTTGAAATCAAAGTATTATACACAACCCTATTAGGCAAAAACCCAAAAACCCTCATGTCATCCAAAAGCTCCAATCCCTTGTCAGCAAGCCCAGCTCTACAAAACCCACGAACCAAAATCCCAAAACTAAAGTCATTCGGCCTACAACCTTTCTCAGACATTTTATCAAATAGTTCCTTGGCATCCTCCAAGTGACCCGAATCACATAGAGCCCGGATCAAAAGATTGAACGTATAAGTCTGCGGAAAAACCCCAGCAACAACCATATCCTTATACAACCAAGAAACACAATCTACCCGTCTCTCTCTAATACAGCACTCAAAAAGAGCATTATACAAACTTACAGAAGGCGGGTTTTCTGGGAACTTGGTTCTGATGGTCTGGAACTGCGAGAAAGCCTTGTCAAAGAGGTCCGATTTCGCCAAGATATTAACGAGAGAAACAAGAGAACAAAGGGTTGTTTGTTGGGGCGTGGAGGTCAAGAGGAGATGATGAAGGTCGTCTACTTGGTCCAGCATTTTGGCGCGAACGAGAATACGGGCGATGGTGGGTACGGAGTGAAGGAAGGTATTGGGTGAGGAAGATTGAATGCGCTTGAAGAGTTGCCATGCTAGCTTTGGATTTGTGGCGTTTTTGAGCAGAGCTTTGGTGAGTTTCGCTGCTTGGTCCATGTCCGAACGCCCTACTCCTTCA